AGAAATTGTATCATTTGAATACCATTTTTTCATTACAAACTAAACTTATATGATGACAGAGTAATACTTATTTCTATTGAAATAGGCTACTGCTTCTTCAGTTGATGTCTTAATAGCCATACGCTTTTCATCAATAGAGCCTCTAATTCCAGGAAAACTAGATTGAGTATAAAAAGTTCCATTATTCTTACATCATCTTGCTGTGTGCTGGCCAAGAGTTCATTTTTCATTTTCACTTAACACTAACTTGTAAGAAAGAATTAACAACTTTATTTAAAATATTCCACGCAGTCCGTCTAAACATATTAAAACGATCGCCAATACCCTTAGAGAAAAGAAAGAAAGAAAAAAAAAAGTGTTTTGTATTTAATATCAATTATTTGTTAATTTTGAACTCAGTTTAGTTACACTACAACAAAACAACGTCACATCCATTCACTGGGTAAAACAATTGCTTTAATTATGCATTATATGTATGTATAATCTACTATTCTCTTATAAACATAATCTAATTTCATATATTACTTCGTATAAACAAACCAGAATGATTCTTGATTTGCCAATGTCCATAGACAGCATAAAAGCTGCTTTTGAAAAGACACAGGTCGTCTTCCAGAGGAAGTAATTTTTCGGTGTCTATAATTGGGCTTATTTTTTAGAGGAGAATTTCAAAACATTCTCTTGTAAGTCTAAGGTTGTTTAAAATCGGTTGGCTTATAAAAAGGTAGAGTGTCTTCAATAAAAGTTTCTATCNTGTCCGGAAGAAGAATTATTATCCTAATCCTACCACATCGTTGGATATCAAAACCTTTTTCCTTAAGAATATTCAAAGACATAAAGAGGTATGGACCTTATTTTTGTGAACTCTCTCTCGGTCCTTCGCGGTTCAGGGATTCAGATTTTCCCTTTTGAAATTGGTTATTGTAATCTCTATGTAGCTAATAAATCGTTGTTATCCTGTTAAAGTGGTGTCATCTTTACTCGTATATCGCCGGTCATCTTACCGACGCACTCCTCCCTCCGCCACTCGACCCGAAGCATTTAATCCCGTTACCGCGAGAAAGGTTAAAATTTTAATCCATCCTGACCAGTGAGAAGGGTTTAACGACCTGTTGCCGGATCGGGAGACCTACACCCTCCCCAGCGGTTCACACACTAATGCATAATGCCAATTCCTCATCATTACCTGGTTAGCGTTGGTTAATGCATATTGCACTTTTCAAGGCAACCTTAAACAAAACTATTCTAAAAATGTACACGATGAAGTATGGAAAAATAAGATTCGGAGAAAAGAAAGCTGTGTATAATGAGCTGTGTATAATAAGAAAAATAAGCTGTGTAATATTGTCAGAAATTTTTGTTGGCTTTAATCAGTTCGAATATGGGAGGGACTGATGACTGAGAGTCCACTTTATATAATTTATTTACAATATACGATGGTATGTTGTAGTATTACACATCTAAAAACAAATGCGTTGGTTTTGCTAATGCTAGCAGTAACAGTTACGATAACTTAAGTAACGGTTAAGAAATGTTATTCATGTTTTGTTTTATATTGTTGCAAAAAATTGCATATTAGTATTGCACGTCAGTAAATGTATTACGTCATCCACAGGTATTAATAAATTAAGCATTGTAAATTAATTTGCCATCAATAACTGCGATCCTCATCGGCTTTTCGGTTATAATTACAGATTCAACACACAGCTTTTCGATTTTTTATTCAATCAACGCAAAATTTCCAGTAATGCATTTCGGCCTAATTAAGAGGTTTCTTCAGATGGATAATTTTGCGTTAATTAAATGAAAAAATCGAAAAAAAAATGTGTGATCTAAAGTATAAAGGAAAAGTCAATGAGATCCGTAGTTATTTATTAGAAACTATTTGATAATACAGATCAGAAGCTAAAATTCGCGTTTCCGTAAACAAACAAACGAGATAAAGCAAACGAAATACTTTAAAGTCAGCCGCAATCTAGGCAATATCAAAACAAACTGTTCGAAGGCGACATCGAATGAAATTCGTTCGGTCATCGACTCAACGTCAATCTACATCATATAAAATATTCCCTTCGATATAAAATAGACGGTCGGTTCGACACCTTTCGGATCCAATAAATTGGATTTTTTTGGGCGACGCTCATGCGCATTTGAATGTGTATGAGAAAGGAACATACACTGTAAACCATAAAGAAGACACGAGTGCGTGTTATGATCTTTGTCACATTTGCTACTCTGGGATAAGGAAACAATGAATCTGTAGAGCTATGTCACCGGTGATGTTACAAGATACATCCTTGCACTACTGTCGATGGAAAACATTCATGTGACCATAAACATTGTCCTTGACGTCACGTCGAAAGCGATGTCATTGCATAGTTTGAAGCGACATTAACATCTAGAAAGAAATGATGCTTTATTTATGCGATAAATTATAATATTCTTTTGGTAATTTTTTAAAATCTTAGACATTCAATAATTCAGATACAACTTAGAAATAGATTCACCTCGATTAAAGTTCTCGTCAATTTAATTTAAATAATAAAGAAAGAAATAAACTTATCAGGGGAGGACACAGCTGGCTATACTCCGATTTTGATTAGCTTTAACATTGCAAAACTATATAGAAAATTAAATGAAACGTGTTGAAGGGTTTAGTCCAATATGCTTTGCAAACATTAATTTTTTATGTTCGAAGATTAAAAAGATGTGTAGCGATACAGTAATTATATGCCGTGATGCACGATACGTTCAAGCATGATTTGTTAAAATGTCGTTAATTAAAGCCGAAAACTATCGTTCCGATTTCAAATCCAGATTTATTTTTTCGTGTGTTATTTCTATAATTTTTATTCAATTAAAACGGTAAGTATTTAACCTAATTAAAAAGAAAACAATTCAGTAATGTGCAATTACACTTGACACATGTTTTACTATTTGCTCTTAGTATTGTATTAATAACAAATATAGCGGAAATAATAACACTAAGAATTTAATTAGAATTGTTTTTAATTTCATTTAAATGAATAAGTTTAACGTTAAATGAATGTTGTAAATGTTTTCCTACTATTGTAATAGGTTTTGAATGTCTGTTTAACACACGTTTCATAATAGAAAAATTAATGAAGTTGTTAATTATCATTCTATACAGTGGTTTTTTTACATTTTATCTACGAAGAAACGATGAACAGAAATCCATACTGTACTACTGCATTTTTCTCATGAAGAGATACATCAGGTTAATTACATCTTCCTTTACGTTTATGATATTGAGTGTTTATTTAATTAATTTTTTGATAAATGTTTTTGATATTCAAGCATTTTATTTTACAGATTGAGTTTTCCATTGCTCTGCGTATTGGCTATTTTCATAATTTTGCCACTTTGTGGCGAAGGACCACATTGGGACATCGTAAATGAGGAAGCCGAAAAGGCTATACGATATTGGTGGAGATATATTCTTCATATTCAAAATTTATACAACGTGCCACTTGATGTAACTTGCTAAATATTATTATTATTCAGTATTTTAAGTTTTACGAAATACAGTTAAAAGTGCATTTTTCTTGCAGTTTTTTATCCATTTATGGTTCGTTAATGTGTTGATGCAATTAACTGTAATTACAGTTCCTTTATTATACATTCATGACAGGTAAGACTAATGATTTCTTTGAAATTGGTTTTTTTATTAAATTATATTTGTTAAATTTGTTAAATAATTCTATAATATGAGTTCTGTAATACGCTTCGTGTCTAGTCTTATATTCAATTTATAATCTCTATGTCGGCTTTTCTTTTTCGCTAGACTCATTGAGAAACAGAACAACTTTAGAAAATCAGATTTTATTTACTGTGTATGCATTTCGGACTTCGAGTCCTTTATCACCAACAGTCTATAAGAAACTCGAAGTCCGAAATGCTTACTACAGTAAATAAAATGTGATTTTCTAAAGTTGTTCTGTTTCTGAATGATGATGTAATGAGTATAGCGGAAAATGAAAGCCGTCATAGAGCTCATAAATTGAATTCTATAATATTTAAAGTATTACATATAATAAAATTCAGAGTAATTAGTTAACTATAAACTATAAAACATTAAGTGCTCGTTAATTAATTATTTTTAGTAGGGTTTTTAAAAGTGGTCAATATCAACTACATTAATCACTTAATTACCAATTGGTATCAATTGGAACAGAGTAACGCTGTTGTGCATCACAATCCTCTCGTGAAAAAACGTGACTTAATCTGTTATTTGTAAAATGTAATTTAATCTGTTATATATGAATATAAAATTCAAAATTTTCTATTACCCACAGTGTTTTTAAAAATACCACTATATTGTAGAAAATATCTCTTTTAAAAACACATTCTGTTACTGTTGTTTGAATATAATATAGAATTGGAAAAATGATATTTTCATGACTGACATCTAAGGCTTTACAGCAGAGTCAAAAAGCAACATACAATATCTGCAACTGAGCTTCGACCAGTGCACCAAGATGAATTAGTTCCAGTAACGGTTTCACCTCTGAATTTTTCGGAAGCTTTTAAAAAGGAATCTGATCATGAAGACGAATCGGCAAAATGACAATCAAGCTGTAATGAACATCTAACCTGGAGTCCTACAGATCTGCCACAGCTCACCAATCTGTCTCGATTAAATGATCTGAATTGTTATTTGGATCTTTTAAAAAGAGAGGTTTAATTACTTGCAACAAGTCTCCAGCTGTGGAAATTTCAGCAGAAAGAAGTGAAAGTGTCTTGTTACAGAAACGGGAAGTCAGCAAACATAAAACTTTTCAATGGAGGCCAATCCTTTTTTTACAAGGATATACCGCTTTTCTTGGAAGAGCTTCAGCTGCCATAGGATCCTGAGAAATGGAGATTCTTTATTGACTCTTTAAAGTTTAGCCTTAAAGGAATTTTGCTGTACAATGGCTCCATCATCTGCCCGTTCAGTCGCTCATGCTGTCCAAATTAACGAAACTTACGACTACTGTATAATAGTACACATAACTGTGTTATTGGTCTAGTTGTAATGTATACGAAAATTCAGAATGTTGTAAATTTGAAATACGCAAGTAGACCGTTTATATGTAAATGGGTGTTGAATAATACCAGCTTACCAGATTTATTTAACCGCATTCGATAAAAGACGGAATTAATAAAAATTCGAAGAATTGTTGAAGGGGTCGACATTTACTTTAGAGTAATAAAAGAAATAAAATTAATCTCATACAATATGGAAACTTTTGTGCGATTTTCGATTTAGATAATGACATGTGTTACGAACAATCCAAAGTCCTCCATCTATATCTACAGAGTCCTGAATCCANTTATATAACAATAGTTTGATTAATTAATGTTGTAGGTGTAGCAAACAAATTCCTATCCATGGACTTCTTCGTCGTAATGGATCGACTAACAATCTGGATTTATCTTCTGCACCCTGCATTTATTCTTTATCTTTTCGGAGAATTTAGAAGTCCACATAGATTTACACAAATAAACTTGGTAATAAATTGTATGAATATTTAGTATTGTTGAAATACTTTACACGTAAGAAACTAATTCCGTGTTGAAACTAGTGGATACAATCACAAGTATGTGAATAAGCTATACTAGGAATTTTTAATAGTTGTAATTACATTATCCTGTTTTCACTAAAATGTCTGATGTCCCGCTACGAAGGCGTTTTGAGACTTACTATCATATTAACATAATATACTTTAACACCGATCGTCTCAGTCCACGAACCAGCGAAATGTCTGAAAATATGCTACGGATCAGAGTTATACAGGCTTAAAGTTTAAAATTTGTACTTTTATATTTAATATAATTTCTGTAAACACTACAATTTTATTTTTTCAGCTTTCACATGAAACTCTACGAAAAACTAAAAGTTGTAAGTGTACACACGTATGCATAAATGTTTTCTTTGGATTTTGGAATGGTTTATTTCATTTTTGTTTTTATACGAGACTGTACGGCATTTCGATATGTGCTGTTCCGATAAATGACATTTACTTACTACATTAACTTATAGCAAATATGAAAAGTTATCTGTAATTGATCTGAACATAAATACTTCTAATGTGTTTAGTTTTTATTTTTAGACATTTAATTTAATTAAGCTCTTTAATCATTTTAATTTTTTAAATTCAATGACAAGTTGATATATTATATATTTTAATTACATTTTAGGAAATATTGTTATTGTTATTTTATTACATGTTAATTCAATTTGCTTTAATTGCAGATGGTCAACAATTGGAACCGTATTATTATGCATTTTGACACTGGCAGGAATCATTTTGCATGTTTGGCAATCAGTAATTGCCAAATACATCACGATCGTTGGTTTATCAGTAAATATTCGGTATGTTTTATGTCTAAAATACGTTCGTTACATACAATCATTCTTAAATTACTTTTTTAAATAAATGGTAACACAGCACAAAATGCGAGGATAAAAGTCCAAATAAAGTTCGGGTTTTCTTTTCCTATGGTTCGGCTAGGGTGGCGAAACAATCGTAAACTCCAGGGCGTAGGTAAGACTTCAGGCGGTTTTTCTCGGATGATCCGATAAACCTAGGATGGCACTAGGTGGGGTGATACAGCAAAACAGGTTGTTTCCACAATGTCCGAAAAGTTTTTTCCTAATTCCACGGGAGCACGCACATCCAAGATGGCATGACTACGAACCAAAAACTTCCCGTGCTTAAAACGCGCAGTTTTATAAGTTTTTTTTTTAAAGCTGCCTTTCCATTGGTCTTGACTCGTCACCCGGTGACAATTCGAAACCGATCGGAAGGCGCGGGAGAGATCAGTTTCGCGACTAAATACGACTCCTCTGCCATGTTTCCCTCGAATTTAGTCTTTCCTATTGTTTAAATAATTTACCAAAAGAAAAAAACTTTTTCTTTGTTTAATCGAGATCTTTAATTTTTTCCTTTCGAGTTGTAAAAGGTGATTGTTAAATTTCTCGATTGATAGTCCACATTCGGATTTCTACGTTGACATCCGTCCGGGACCTCACAAAAATTGTCCAACTAATTATCTTTTATAAATACAATCGCTACTACACGCATTTCTTTTCTATTTCAGTACATTACGTTAGCTATAACATTGTTTCTGAATTTCTGAAAAATGTCTGAAAAAATTTTACAACTACTAAGTTATATATGTTTGACTTTTTAAAATCTTATGGGGATATTACCAAGGTTCGAAACACACTCTGCCATTCTTAACATGATAATCCTAAAAGCAGGTATTTATTCCTCGTGGAAACAAGAATAAATAAATTACAAGTCAACTATTAGAAGTGAATTATCATTGTCCCTTATTAACCCAGAAAGGTTTTGTACCGAAACTGACCAGTAGTGTTCAATAAATACACCATTTAAAATTGCTAATATTAGGTTAGAATGAATAAAAATACGAAATAAAATTTACTGGTAGTATAGTTTATATAATATTCGTGGTATTTACTATAAATTACTCAAAAATACAGTTTACACAAATTTTTATCTTATTTAAATGTTCTGAACATCCATTTAGATTCCATACATCACAACACTGTTTTAAGTTTTTCGCAACGTTTACTTGATAAATATTGCATGAATATTACACAATTTCGAAGAAGAATCAGTTTGTCGTCCATCGCAAGTTTTGTAATTTGTGAATGAAAGTCTCCCACAATTTTCTGATAGGTGCTAATTTATCTTTTTTTAAGTGTCCAAATAACACTATTATCAAATCTTAAAAAACGTTGGATAGGCACTAATACATGTTTTATCACAGTATTACGGAATATTGGTTGCCAAATATAGAATTCTAGTACTATCTAAAATTTATTCTGCTATGTTTATTGATACCAATAGTCAATATTACATCTAAAAACACTTGCGATTTAATTGTATCTATTAGTTTCTACGTATTTTGCAATATACTGGTAGTAAATAATACATTGGTATGCTTTACAGTTCCAGTTATTTTAATCTGAAATAATTTGAAATTGTTAATGTAGTGGTGGAATATTTTTCCTTGTGGTAGAACAACCTTATTTACACAACCACCGATTATACTGTGCTTTCTATTTCATTATATTATAATCATTTCTGTTTTTTACAGTACTGGTTAACCAAATAATTTCATTTTTTCAAGACATTCAATAAACTTATTAAATTATTATAATTATTTAATTTTTCCTCTTCAGTTGTATTTTCTTCCCCACTGCATAACCGCTCATCAACCGCCTCGGACGTTGTTTTTGTCAAATTACTTTCATTATGAGAAACGTCACCTACAACACAATCTCCTCTTTACTGCAACTTTTTCTAAATACATAGTTCTCACCATCGCTATAATCTACAGCATGTCAAAAATTTTCATTAGTCAAAATATTATTCTTATTTATTTCTCAAAAGTGAACAACAAGTCTTTTATTTTACAATGAAAATTACACTTACGCTGTTTATCTTGTGATTATTTTTATCACTACTGAAGAATAAATAATATATATTTCAATATATAGCAGCACAAGTTTCGAAACACACTGTAAATCAACTATAACACAATAACACCAACCGCACATCTACAAATGCTATAAGTACTGATGAACAGAACAAAGACAACAAGTAATTACATACGAATCATCGTACATTAAACTTCGTTTTGCATGCAAATTAATTTGAAAATGTGTCTGTCAGACACTACTAAGTGGTCTATGGTTGAACAAAGTTTCAGGAAAGGTAATTTATTATGTTTTTCATAACTGAACAACGTTAATCATTTAAGAAATATTTTAGTAATCATTTTCACAATATTTGTTCAACTAATTTTGAATTATATAACTGATACAGAATAACTTTATGAAATAGTTATATTTTTATATTTATTCGGCTATTCCTTGTGTTAATCTTTATATAATCTCTGCACAAAACTAGCTTTATAACTTTAAATATCTTTACAGAAATCTCGAGAATTTATTCCTGTATGTGTATCAGAAACCTTACTTTACCCACCTGAGTTCTTACTGCTTGGGCTTATTAATAGGATACACGTTAGCTAAAAAGAAACAATTGAAATTCCGAAAGGTATGTTATAAATATGGCTTAGCATATTAACGAAAGCTAATTTAATATATGTTGTGTTGTATAAAATATATATTAAATAAGATAAATTATAATTACACAGAGGTGTTTTAGGTAAAAAAAAAATTGTGACTGTATATATGTGATTTTAAACAGAATTATAAACTTTGTAGTATTTCAGAGCAGAGATATAGTTTGATTTCGAGATATTAACGAATGCACATTTGGACCTCCAAAAATTTTTTTAGTTTTAAGAGTCATTTAATACTGTATTAAATGAGTCTTAAAACTAATACTGTATTAAATGAGTCTTAACCATATAAATTTAATACTGTATTAAATGAGTCTTAAACATTCAGGTTAATAGTAGGGTCGGTTAGTTGGTATATGTGGGACAAATAATGAAAAACAGAAAGGAAAAAGTTATTATAAGACAAATTTGCTTCGCTTACTTGGGGTGATTTTCTGCGAAGAACTTTTATTCAACCTTCCATGTTTTAATGAAAATGCTACGCAATCCTCATTTTAATGAAAATGAGGATTGCGTAGATTGAAACTATTGCACATGTTATCTCAAAATAACACCTACAAGCTAGAGATAAAGATAATAGTGGAGAGGATATAAAAGATCAAGACTTAGTGACTAACCAGGAAGTCAGAAAATATTTTCTGAACTGAGACGATATTTAATGAAAAATGGAAAGGAAGGAATTCCCATTTCTGCGCTAAATGCCATCGTCGATTTTGTGCACTTGCAAAGTGTCGGGATGGATTCTCGTTACTTTTTTTCTCTTTTATTCAAACGAGCAACAGTTTATGCCGTAGAAACTCGGATCGAGAAACGACCGTTCGTTTTGAAAGCAGGTTAGCCGATTGGCCGCCGACCATCGGACGGACAAGAGCGCTACGTAGCGCTAATTGATTAACTAATCAGCGCTGCAAACCAAATAAAAAACATTGAGTATAGGCAGGAAGGTTAAGTTTGCCTAAGTTCGCCTAAGTTGAGTTAGTCTAGGTTTAAGTTCGATAGGGTTCTGTAGGAACTTCCGATTAAGGACGTTTCGTCTAAGTTCGGCTAAGGGAACTCAGGAGTTGGTCAAATAAAGCAAGGTTGCTTTCGTCTTGTCTGTTGTTATCGACGAACGCCGGAAGGAGTATACAACTAATTACTACTCAAGAATTATTTCGTAACTAGCAGATCCCGCCACGCGTTGTTGTGGCTCAAAATGTATCTATTATAAATGTATAACACTTCCCCTGTGGGGGAAAATTTTTCGAAAAATTTTTTCTTAGTGTACAGTACATTCTCTTGACATACCCTATTAAAACGCAATCAAAAACGCAAAAACCCGCATCTAAAATAGTATAATAGAAGCGAAGTTCTTCACAGTAAGCCTTAATCCGGTCCTTTTCCACCGCGGGGGAAATATCGAAAAATCCCTTCTTAGTGTACATTCTGTTGACGTACTCTATTAAAACGTAATCAAAAACGCAAAAAACCGCATCTAAAATAGTATAAATAGAAGCAGACTTCTTTACGGTAAGCCTTCCCCGTAAGGCTTACCGTAAAAAACTGTCCATCTCCCATGTTTAACGGAATAATATACAGTTTATGTCCATCCTGAAGTTCCATTCCAAATATTGTGAAAGAATTTTTGAAATCGGATGAGTAGTTTCGGAGATTACCTGCCGCATATAAACTAACATACATACATACAAACATTTCCTCTTTATAATATTAGTATAGATGTGCCTTTTCGACGGACATATTCGGAATTAATTGACTATTTGCACTCTAATTTATTTTGTATGTGTGAAACCTATATTCTAAATATCTCAAACGTTGTAATTTGTTACCCTTGTGAACATCGTAAGTTTACGTAAGTTTTATTTGATGTTATAAACGTTTTGTGAACTGTGATTTGGAATTTGACTCAAAGTAAAAATAAATGTGTCAAAAGAAGCTCGATAAATTTCTGAAAAATAATTGTTTTTGTTTACCTGTTAAATGATTATATATTATGTTATTTTTCAACTTGGATTTATTTGCACATATATACGGTACATATCTGCAAATAAATCTAACTTGAAAAGCAATATCAAAATCGAATATTAATTATATTTTCTAATAAATAGCTTTTGTCTTTATTGCACATTTCTCGACTTTGATTTCGTTTGGTTTTTTAAATTGGCTTTACTTCTAATTAGAAGCTCGTTATACCCAAGGCCAGAAAGAAATGCTTTTCTTTTTGATATAATAATTAGCTCATGTATATTATAATGTCAATACAATACTAATGATAAAGTAAATAACTTTCACGTTTACAAATAAAGATCATTATTTAAATTCTTCCATTGTTTCTATAAGACAGTAGTTGAAATTATGCTTTGTTCTGTCTATCGATGATTATTCAAATAACTATCTCAGTTTCTTATAGTTTGAAGTTTCTTTCTTATAGTATATTTAATTTGGTTATTTTAACCGGCAACTGTGTTTTTATTTCTAGGTTAAATAATATAGCCTAACGTACTTTATAAATAAGTACGAATAAGTAAACTTGCGATTTAATAACACATTTTTTGTTTCAAACTTCGTGTAAGATATTTGTAATACTTCTCGAACAATAATTATACGTGTTCATTTTGTACTTTATTATTAATATTTAATGTACAGAGTAAAATGTAAGAAAACGTATATAAAAAAATAATTTAAGTACATTTTAAAGTGAATTGGAGTTTTATGTGTTTCTAGGTCAAATACTTTATCATTTCCATTACCATCCGTGCTAAATGAGTGTAGTAGCTACTATAATAAACAAAATTAAGATCTTGCATATAATCAATGAATATATTTTAACTGCTAATTTCTTAACGTTATTTTTAATATAATGGTGTTACTGTGTTAAGATCTGCGCGAATAATAATTTCTCTAATAATGTAACGATGTCTCAAGAACGGTGCTGCTGCCTGCTTCTGGTGGAACACCCTGACCGACCGACCGAGAAAACGACCATCAAGCTCATGCTCGGATAAAAGAAAAACAAGAAGAACGATTCTATGACGCCGATCCCTATACTATTATCGTAAAATCATAATCAGAACAATTCTCAATTCATTGTTTTTAAAAATGTTAATAACTAAAATGTCTTTGGATTTTTAGGTTTTATCAGAAAAATTAATTAATTTACATCTGATATGGAGATATTTGATGTTTTAGTTTGGTAATCCTAATTTGACAAACGAGAAATATCTCGCCTTGTTTTTAAATACTCATAAAATATTTCCATAAGTCTAATGAATGCAATTATTTAACTTAATTTTAATTAATTCACTTTCAATATGTGTTGTGTAACTTACCTGAAGATAAAAAATTAAATAAGCCATTTACTTGATTTCAAACATACTTCAATACGTAAATGATCAGTTTTTAAAATTCATTTATTTACACATATATTTGCGTTTTAAAATTCGTTTGGAAGGTTCAAATAAAACAATATATTTTTAATACCGGACTGTGCATGTATTAAGTTACAAATCGTTTCAGTCTTTAAGAAAGTCTGTGCGATGTCATACACAATCCTAGCTGACTAAACATTCGCTCAACAGATGCACTGGATGCTGGTAATCTCATCAATAAACTCAATAATTTTTCAAGATCTGAAACAAACTTTGCAGTATTTTTTAAATTAAATATCTCTGACCAGTAGAATCTGACAGTATAAGTTTTTGATCCCAAGTTAAGCAGGACTTGTTTACACCATTTATTGTTTACAACTTGTATATCAACCTTAACATTTTTGTTGTAAATTTGTCTCTTTAATCCGATTTTCAGTTCGGTAGACTATCATATACAGCATTCAGGTTATGAACTTCCTTTATTGATTTGTCATATGCATTTCGGACTCAATTGTAATTTAAGTCCCTCTTCTGTACACCGAGGTTTTAGAAAACAGATTCTGAGTTTGTACTGAAGAGGACTTAAATTACAATTGAGTCCGAAATGCATATGACAAATCAATAAAGGAAGTTCATAACTTGAATGCTGTATATGATAGTCTACCGAACTGAAAATCGGATTAAAGAGACAAATTTACAACAAAAATGTTAAGGTTGATATACAAGTTGTAAACAATAAATGGTGTAAACAAGTCCTGCTTAACTTGGGATCAAAAACTTATACTGTCAGATTCTACTGGTCAGAGATATTTAATTTAAAAAATACTGCAAAGTTTGTTTCAGATCTTGAAAAATTATTGAGTTTATTGATGAGATTACCAGCATCCAGTGCATCTGTTGAGCGAATGTTTAGTCAGCTAGGATTGTGTATGACATCGCACAGACTTTCTTAAAGACTGAAACGATTTGTAACTTAATACATGCACAGTCCGGTATTAAAAATATATTGTTTTATTTGAACCTTCCAAACGAATTTTAAAACGCAAATATATGTGTAAATAAATGAATTTTAAAAACTGATCATTTACGTATTGAAGTATGTTTGAAATCAAGTAAATGGCTTATTTAATTTTTTATCTTCAGGTAAGTTACACAACACATATTGAAAGTGAATTAATTAAAATTAAGTTAAATAATTGCATTCATTAGACTTATGGAAATATTTTATGAGTATTTAAAAACAAGGCGAGATATTTCTCGTTTGTCAAATTAGGATTACCAAACTAAAACATCAAATATCTCCATATCAGATGTAAATTAATTAATTTTTCTGATAAAACCTAAAAATCCAAAGACATTTTAGTTATTAACATTTTTAAAAACAATGAATTGAGAATTGTTCTGATTATGATTTTACGATAATAGTATAGGGATCGGCGTCATAGAATCGTTCTTCTTGTTTTTCTTTTATCCGAGCATGAGCTTGATGGTCGTTTTCTCGGTCGGTCGGTCAGGGTGTTCCACCAGAAGCAGGCAGCAGCACCGTTCTTGAGACATCGTTACATTATTAGAGAAATTATTATTCGCGCAGATCTTAACACAGTAAC